AGAAGATCCAAAAAATCTTAGTTAGGACTTAATAGAGTATAAGTTCATAAATTAAAACTTGTATAAATATCCCTTGTTTAAATTATCTCATTAATAGTATTATCCAAATGATCCCATTAAGTTTGCTTGAGAAATTGTTACATTCCGTTTGAATTGAATGATTTAGAGAGAAAAAATATATATATAAATCGATTTATCTTTGTCCTACTCATTGGGGAAATAGGAAGAAATTGATTTATCTCCTAACTTAATTTTTTAAGAAGAAAAAATAAATCGATTTCTCCTTGTCCTAGTCATTGGAGAAATGAGAAAAAACTGATTTATTGCCAACTCAATTTTTGAATCACTCAAAAAAAAATTGAGAGATTGAGGGAGAAAAGTAATAGAATGATTATTAATTTTGTATAATATCAATATTTTCTATCTGCGTACTAAAAAAATAAAATGATATTAATATAACTTGTAAGATTTTTACTTTTTCTTTTATATAGTTTATCCAAACAAGATGAGAGAAAAACCATTATTTTCTTTCTTTTCTCTCTATTTTAACTAAACAAGGAGAGATAAATCTCAAGCTTTTGTCTCCTTTCTTTTCTCTCCTAATTTAAGCCTTATTTGGAAAGAAGATTGGACTAAAATAGATCACAAAAAAACAAAATAAACTATAATAGTCAATAAGACAAAATGTTACATCTAACTCATAATTATTTCACTTTTTTTGTCAGAACCATAAAATCAATTACAAAAAATAATAATAAATAAATAAAAATTAACTAACTTTCCAAATACAATTTTTTTAATTAGATTAAAATAGTCACAAAAAAAAAAATCTGAATAACTAACTAACTAAAACAACCAACTCCTAAATAAAACCTTAACAAATCATTTAGTGCTTGTTTGGCATATTCTATAAAAGACAAAAATCAAAAAATTACAAAAAAAAAAAAGTCAAAAAATTATTACTATTCATGAAAAAAATAAAAAATAAAAACAAATTTATACAGGGGATGCAAAAAAAAAAAAAAAAAAATTACACGCAAACTTCGTATTGAAGTGATAGTACAATATGAAGTGATGGTACAAATGTTCACTGGCAGGTACACAAAAAAATTTGCATAGGATGGTATTGTTTGGCCCGTGGAGGCCCATCACGAGTCCCTTTTTAATAATCTGAATTGTCAATGTGTAAAACTCGTCGAGTATTATATGCTTATAAAAAATTACACTGATTAGATATCGATAACTATATGATCAAATCAATTTTGTATAAAAAAAAAATGAATAGTAAACAAATTAACGGTTGACAAAAAATTGATCCGATGAGATAACTATCGATATCCGATCAACATGATTTTTTACAAGCATATAGTACTCGACGAGGTCTACACATTGAACGATTCGAATTATCAAAACGAGATCCATGATGGACCCTCACGGACCGAACAACACCGTCCAATCCGATCTCGGATTGGAGACAAGTTGCTTCTATATATCTTTTGATGTATACTGCCCACCACACAATTTCAAAGCAATGCTCCGTACTAGCTTCATAAACAATCACTGTTAGTATGCATAGGGAGCATTAGGGGTAATACGATAATTTTGTAATTTTATACAATATTTTAATATATATTTTTTTATAAAAAATCAAAAAATTATTTCAAATAATTATTTTTTTTTTCTTTATTTTTTTATCTAAAGCGCCAAAAAGTACGATTCTATAATTCATCTCAAACAACTCTTTATTCTCTCGTCCTTTTCTAACCTAAATATTTAAACATAGTGATTCAAGAGTTTATTTGGATAAGAACAGAAACGGACAAAGAGATTCAAGATAACAAGCTTTGGATGCCCCTGACAAGATCTTTTGCAGGTTCTAAACCTCACAATACTACAAACGCTAGAAAATTCTAATTTAGAAGTTTTAAACAATTTTTAATAAAGTGAAAAAAAAAAAAAAAAAAAAACAAAACAAAACAGCACTGATCATGGTAGTGGGTAGAATTCACTGTCACACACTACTTAAACGTCCTAAGCATTTTTATACTACAAATTAAATAATAGCTGTGATAGGGACGTAGGACCCCACAGGCCCACACACATTTATGAGAGGGAGGGAGAGAAGAAAAAAAAAATAAATAAATAATGAGTAATTATAAATTAATTGGGAGTGGAAGTAATGGGGTCAAATTTTGAGAGTCTCCAATATTCTTCATTAAATAAATACTTCCTCGTTGATTGGTCGTGGTTGTCATTTGATTTCATTAAATATAACTATTTATATTTGGATTTTTTTTCATAGTGAACTTTTTCTTAATGCAGATCAAAAGTTCTTACTTTTGGGAAAAATTCAAAAAAAAAAAAAAATTAAAATTAACAAAAAAGAAGCCAAAAAAATGTGCACTTTTGCCTTTAGTGATTTTTTTTTTCTTTTAGATTTTAGCATTTTTTAATTTAAAATTTTGAATCATTGGTGAATCTAAAAAGTACAATTTTTGTTTTGCATTAAAAAGTTCACTATGGCCAAAAAAAGTTCACTATGATTCGGTGATATATGGGCTGCGTCCGGATCCTTTAAAGTGATCTTGATCTTTTAGAGTAATCTTTTATGGCGTGACACATGTCCTATTAATGAAATCAATGGCTGAGATGATCTCTCTCTAAAACGACGTCGTTTTGATGACCCAAATAAATAAATAAATAAATAAATTTATAGAATTTGCAAATCAAGAGGGAGGAAGAGGAGAGAGAGAGAGCTGAGGAAAATTTTTTCTCTGCAAATTTTTTTGCAGAATTTGATTCACAATTTTTTGCTAAAGTCGTGTTGCTCGAATTTATTCTTCAAGAAGCTTCAACGATAGAGATTTTGTAGAGATTTTGATGGGTTTGAGAGATGAAGAAAATAGGTGGATTTGCAGAGAAATTCACATGAAAATGAATTTGATGTCGTCCATGGAGATGAACTTCCTAAGGTATCGAACCCATTAACCCAACACAGCAAAAAAACGAAGAACAATGAAGAAATAGAAATTGAAAAACTTATTCACCCAAAAAATAAAAAATAAAAAACAAATTAAAAAAATGAAATAGGATTGAAATCTGACCTTAGAATATCTTGGCAATACTGCAATAACATTTACACAAGATGCATTTGAAATCTAGACAACATTATCGTTGTCTAGATTTCTAAATTGATATTTTTTTGGATTCAAGAAGAAAGAAAACCCAGATCAAAGTCTGAAGTTGTATGCAAGGTTGCGCAAGAAACATATATCTCTATATGCTTCACTTCTAAAATCTCACCTCAGTCGGGCAGTGGTTGATGACAACAAAGAAATTGAGGAATTGGATCGTGAACTTGATATTGACCTCATATTTCAGTGGTGGTATCTTCTTTCCTTGCTTAACATTTCATAGTATTATGTTATGGTAGGTTTGGGGATGATTCTTTGTGAGGACAAACAACAAACACCAAAGCTACAAAATCAAGGTAAGAGTTGTAGCCAATATGAATCGGCAGTATCTGGTGGCGGCGGGGTGGCGTTGGGCCGCGATGGCTTCGTTCTTCTTCCTCAACTCTCTCTCCTCATCCTCCTTCTCGATCTGCAAGCTCTGCAAATTTTTTTTTTTTTTATCCGACTAACCAAAACGACGTCATTTTAGAGAGAGATCATCTTAGCCATTGATTCCATTAATGGGACATGTGTCGCTTCATAAAGGATCACTCTAGAGGATCACTTCACAGGATCACTCTAGACGCATATAGGCCTTGGATGTTGATTACTTTCATTTGGATGGGTCCTAGAAATGCATAGGTCAATGATTTGGTAAGGGTATGGCCTATGGTGGCTCTCTTGAATGGATCCCTCACAAAAGAAACGAAAAAAACTACGTCATTTTAGTGGTAAATTTTTCTTCATTGTCAAGAAAAAATTCTATAGATACAGAAAAAAAAAATTATAAAAAGGGAAAAAAATAAATATAAAGAAAAATAACATTTTTTTGAACGATAAGAAAAATAACATTTAAAACACATGTTTTCAAAATAGGCTATTTACAAAGACTCTCTAACTTATTATCGAATATCATTTTATTATAAACTCGTACATTTTAACCCCTTCAATTATAAAAATATATCATTTTCACCTTGTAAATCTCTCCCAATAGGATCGGTCTTGGATGTTGATTACTTTCATTTGGATGGGTCCTAGAAATGCATAAGTCAATGATTTGGTGGTATGGCCTGTGGTGGCTCTCTCGAATGGATTCCTCACAAAAGAAATGAAAAAAACTACATCATTTTAGTGGTAAATTTTTCTTCATTGTCAAGAAAAAAATTCTCTAGACATAGAAAAAAAAAATTATAAAACAAGAAAAAATAAATATAAAGAAAAATAATAATTAAAACACATGTTTTCAAAATAGGCTATTTATACTAAGACCCTCTAAAATATTAGTGAATATTATTTTATCATAAACTCATACATTTTAACCCCTTCAACTATAAAAATATATCATTTTCACCCTCTAGACCCCTCCAATCTAATCTAATTACGGTTTAGAAATGGATCCCAATCTAAGCCTACCATGGGTCAATAACACCTTCCAATCCAAATGTATTTTGAGCTATGGCCCCCTTTTCCATTCTTGAGAGCGAAAAATAGTAGGCATTATAGCACCATTACGGTTAAATATCTAAAATTTTATGAGAGATGTGAGATGTTGAATTTTAATTCATCGCGTATGTGACTATGTTAATATGAGTTATTAATTAGTGTTGTTTGCGCATATGCAAACATATATTGTGAGAGAGTACAAGATCTTCTATCTCATTTTCTCTATTCCAATTCATCTCATTTTAAATAATTGATAAATCTCTTTTAACTCTAAATCATGTAGTAAAGTTGAGTTGAGACTTAACATTGAAAAATTCAAACAATTACTTTGACATCAGAATAGAAAACTTCACCAAACCAATTACACAAACAAATATATTTATATATAGATGCATTATGCATACAACAAACAACCAAATATTATATATATTTTTCACATGTAGAAGTTTTACTGACAATACGAATCAAACCCTGTTGTTATCTTACACAATAGCTCTCATCTCATCGGATGCATATTGTCTTTATTCTCAGTAGGCACACAAACACTCCTTACCATCACACCATATATATAACCATAAATACATATATATATATATATATATATTACTTGAGATGGTAGGTCTCAATATCTTTGCACACAGTCATAACAGTGTCCATCATACTATTTGGAGCATCAATTTGTTCATTAAGCTTCTCATATTCAAGGGTCCAAGTCACCAAGTTGTTTTGGCCTTTTGGTTCAACCTTAAGAATGAAGGTAAAGGTCTTGTACTCCTGCAAGAGATCACCTTCAATAACCTTGTATGTGGTTGACCTTTTTGCCACATCTAATTCTGTGATAATTTGCTTGCAAGTATTCGGCTTTCCCTCTGTGGTATATCACATAATAACATCAACAAGCAGAAAAATTAAAAAAAAAAAAATTGAAATCATATTCACAAAAAATAAAACTTTGTAGTAGGTAAAATTATAGTTAATCACAATTTTTTCCTATTTGTTCGTCTATATATATACTAAATTTTGCTTTTTAATGCGAGGAAATTATTTCAACAACTCATAAATATAAAATGTAGTGTAACCTATATATATCCAAAGTAATTATCTATCACACACTACTCCATAAATGGAAACGTTAAAGTAAAAGCAACTCCAATTGTGTTACATAGCATATTATTACTAAAATTTGATATCAGTCCGCTATGTATCGTGCCAAATTAAACATAATGTTACACTCGTGTCAAATTTAGCACGCTAGGAGCATCATGAATGTTTAATCATTGACTTTTAATTAATTAATGGATAAATTACAACGGTAGTCCTTATGCTTTGATTTTTGTGTCATTTTAGTCCCTATAATTTTAATTGGCTTGATTTTGACCTTAAATTTTTAATTTTATCTCAATTTAATCCAACTGATTACAATTTTTAGTATTTCTTATGAAAAATATGCACAATAAGTGTCATTGTTATATTTTTAAGAAAAAAATTATAAACTTACTCAGTAAGTTAGCCTTAATTAATTTAGTGATAATATTTCTTAAAAAAACACTAACAATATTATCAATTGAACCAAATTGAAACAAAAATCTAAAATTAAAGGTCAAAATTGAGCCAATTGAAAGTACAAGGACCAAAATGATACAAGGAGTAAAACATAAGGACAACCAGTGTCGTTAATTAATTATTCAGGCCCCATTTGGGAATAAGTTATTTTAGTTAATTATTTGAATTTTTGACTATTTTAGCCTAACTGAAAAAGTTGTGTTTTGGATGATAGTTGGTTTTTTTTTTTTTTTCAATTGATTTGATGGTCAGGAGAAAAAAAGTGAAATAATGATGAATTAGATGTGACATTTTATCTTATTAACTATTAGCTATCTTGTCTTTATTAACTATTTTAACCAAATAACTTCCAGCCAAACAAGGCCTCAAATCAAACTAAAGAATTGATATTTTTTTTATAAATATTGATTCTTATAGTACATTTTTTTATTTGGTAATTGAAAGTTAAATTTAAAGACACTGTGAATACATATAATTAGATATACACGATCTCGTGGTATGGTAAAATTTAAATTATATAGTGATCGGGCAAAAAACAACAATACACTACAAAAGTAAGTTTGTCAAAATATGACATTTTAACACCGTAACATATATTTAAAATATAACTTTAACTAAATTGAAATGTCAAGATCCATCGTAGATGTTCTAAACACATGTCAACTTTCACCCATATTGCATGCTTGTTAAATATAGAAATGATATTGCTCAATATAATATCAGAAAGTCTATGGACGAGATATACATACAAGGAATTGAATCAGAAAAGGGGTCGTGGTTTAGATTTATTCATTGTATAATGGAGTCCACATATGAAATTAGTGGTGTTTTGAAAAATTGGTAAAAAATTGACTTTTTAACTCTTTTGGTGGCTTTTTTGGCAAAAAAAAAAAAAAGCTTTTTTGGTGGCTTTTTTGTGTCTTTTTTGAAAGAAGTTCAAATTGCTCCTTAATCTCAACCATTAACTATGTTTTTGTAAGTATTTTTAAGATACTTTGAGACTGTAAAACTACTTTTATATATATATATTACCATGAGTGTATTTCCAGAAGATGACACAACCAGGAGTGCCCCATTGGCCTTCAAGCAACTCAACACTCTGTATATGATTAGGGGACATGTTGTATATGTGATGTGGTCTGGCACTGAACACCTCATGAAACACATCCCCATCAGACTTAATCTCCAGTTGCCTCACTACTTTGCCCTTTAGACCCATCTCTCTTTCCTAGTAAAATTACACACAAAAAGTAAATAGCAAACCAATTGAGAATGTACTTGGAAGGAGGTAGTAGTGGTGAAGAAAACTTTGGCCCTCAACCCTTTTTATAGTAGAAAATTTTTGAGGTCACCACATAATTTTAAGAAACCAAATAGTTCATTGATCAATTGTTTAAATTATCTCATTAATAATAGAATTAATTACTTAAAAGTCTTATTTACAAATGTTATAGTAGCTTAGGTCTTATTTAAGATTTTTTGAACCATTAAGTCCTATTTAGTAAAACTGATAATATCATCATTTTTCAATTTTTAAAACTAACAACATTATCAATTTTGCTTAGTAATGTTCCAAATAATTGTTTCACTAACTGATAAAAAAATAGAGCATGAGAGATTAAACGTTTTTGCCCTTTTATTTATTGATTTGATTTAACTATCCAATAAAACTGAGAACATTATCAGTTTTTTCCAGTTTTAAAACTGAGAACATTATCAGTTTTGTCATTTTTAAAGTTTTTTTTTTTTTTTTTCAATTTTGCATATCAATGTTTCATCATCGTGCTCCTTTATAGATACAAATTTTTTAATTTTTTTCAGAAAAAAAAAACTTTGCTTGGTTTGGGTTTTCTAAAAACCCTTTTTAGAAAATTTTACTTTCTTATTTTTTCGTATTTTTTTATTTCTATTAATTTTTTTAATATTTTAAGCATTTTTTTTTATTTTTAGACATACCTAACATAAATACACTTAAAAAGTATAATTTTTGTAAAAAAAATCTTTAAAAAATTCAACAAATGCCAAAAATACAAAAAAAAAATTGAAAATGCAGTATATTTTTCGTATTTTTGTGTATTTATTAATTTTTTGAAATATTTTACTTTTTAGATGCATCTAAGTAAGATGAATCAAATTTTTTTCAAAAAAAAAAAATAACTTTGCTTAGTTTGGGTTTTCTAAAAACCCTTTTTAGAAAATTTTACTTTTTTATTTTTCGTATTTTTTTGTTTTTACTAATTTTTTTAATATTTTAAGCAATTTTTTTAATTTTTAGACATGTCTAACATAAATACACTTAAAAAGTATAATTTTTGTGAAAAAAATCTTTAAAAAATTCAACCAATACCAAAAATACAAAAAAAAAAAAATGAAAATGCAGTATATTTTTCGTATTTTTGTATATTTATTAATTTTTTGAAATATTTTACTTTTTAGATACATCTAAGTAAGATGCATCTAAAAAAATAAAACAAAAAAGCTTAAAATTTCAAAAATATTTACTAAAAATAAAAAAACACGAAAAAAAACTCAATTTTCAAAAAATTGAAACCAAACACACTGATTAGTTTTTGTTTTTTTTGGCACATAATTTTTTTTTTTTTTAGTTTTTTCAATTTGAAAGTTGATATTTTCAAGTTTTGAAAATCAAAATAAATATCAAATCATCATATTCCTTTATAGATAATCATAAATGATGAACAATCATTGTTTAAAGGACGATTTTGATTATTAAAAATTTAATGGGACTTAAAAATTTAAAAAATCTAGTTAGGACTTAATAAAATATAAATTTATAAATTAGAACTTGTGTGTAAATGTCCCTTAATAATATTATCCAAATGATCCTATTAAGTTTGTTTGAGAAATTGTTACACTCCATTTGGATTGAGTGATTTAGAAAAGGGGCAAAAAAAAAGAAAAAAAATATTTGATTTCTCGTTGTCCTAGTCATTGAAGAAATAGGAAGACATTGATTTATCTCCCAACTCAATTTTTAAAGAAGAAAAAATAAATCGATTTCTCTTTGTCCTAGTCATTGGAGAAATGAGAAAAAATTGATTTATCTTCCAACTCAATTTTTGAATCACTAAGAAAATTGAGAGATTGAGAGAGAAAAGTAATAGAATGATTATTAATTTTATATAATATCAAAATTTTCTATCTGGGTACTGAAAAAATAAAATGTTATTTTGATAATATAATTTGTAAGATTTTTACTTTTTCTTTTGTATAGTTTTTTCAAACAAGATTGGATTATTTTTTTTCTCTTTCTTTTCTCTCTATTTTAACTAAACAAGTGGAGATAAATCTCAAGCTTGTCTCTTCCTTTCTTTTCTCTTCCTAACTTAGGGTTGTTTGGAATGACTTAAATAAGTATATTTTTTATTTTTTTACGAAAAGATGTGCATGAAAGTAGAGAGATGGTGTGATAGGAAAAAGATAAAAAGGTGGATTATTTTTTGGTTGCCAAACTTGGCCTTAGGCTTTGTTTGAAAAGAAAATTGAGTTAAAATACATCACTAAAAGATAAAATAAACTAAAATAGTTAATAAAATAAAATGTCACATCTAAACTATAATCATTTCATTTTTTCTCTCACAGCCATCAAATCAACTACTAAAAAAAAAGAAGTCAATTAACTTCTCAAACATAACTTTTTTAGATAGACTAAAATAATTAAAAATACAAATAACTAACTAAAATAACCAACTTCTCAAATAAAATCTTAACAAATCATTTATTTTCTCTTCTTTTCTCACCTAATCATTTATTTTCTCATCTTTTTTTCTCCTAAATATCTAAATATAGTGATTCAAGAGCTTGTTTGGATCAGAAGAACAAAAAAAAGGACAAAAAGATTTAAGATAAGAAGATTTGGATGCCCCCGACAAGATCTTTAGCAGGTTCTAAACTTGTCAATACTACAAATGAAATAAACACTTCTTCGTTGACTGGTCATGATTGTCATTTGATTTCATTAAATATAACTTCTTAGGACGTCTTTAATGATCCACCAAATATTTCATCAAATTTAAATAAAAAAAAATATGAATTCATCTATACGATATCAGCCATTTCAACAAAACACAATTTGTCTCGGAAGATGATCGGCCGATCAACCCACAATAGTAAATGAAAAAAACATGTTTCCCCATAAGGTTTGGAAAGAACAGCTCTTGTCACAAAGGTGGGCCATGGAAGGTGGTGATTCAAGTTTCACAAACTTGGAATCCCCACAAGAAAACTCTAATGATCTTTCCCTGTCCCTCAAACGATTCTTCTTCCAACGCTTGGTTACATAGCCGGCACCAGCAGCTGCAACAGCAATCCATAAATCGAATTCTTCTCTCCCTTTCCCAGCAAGAACACTACCCAAATTCAACAATACAAACTTTCCTTTTCGTTTCAATTCTGAGCATGAAAAAACCATAGACAAAAATTTCTATGAATCCAAACAATGCTGAAATCCTAGAACCGAAAAACCCTCCAATTCTGTGAGGCAATAATAATAATCAATTGCAGAACCCTCAAACCCAGACACAAATTGTCAACCAAAAAGACATATTTAAAAAACAACGAATGAATCAGAACTCCAATGCTAGAAACATAAAATGCTAGCCAGAGCCCCAAATACACTGCTCCTTTAATCTCCAAAGAATCAGACTCATGTCATAAACAACAACGACAACAACACATCAGACCAAGCTAAGGATAGATATCAGAAATTCAAGAAATACCCATTTGAAATCAATCCCTTCACTGCAAAACCCATTAATAAAAAAGAACCCAAAATCATCGAGAACCCAAACATTACTAATGTGTGAACCACAAACCTATAAAATGCAAAATCCACAAATGGAATGACCCATTTTTCGCCAAAGCTCACAAATACAGTATCAAGCCATGGACTATGAAAAGGAGAAGAAAGATTATGAAGGAAAAAAGGCTTACTTTTGTGATTTTGAAATCGAAAAGACTGATTTTTCACAAAGAAAAGAGATGTTTGGCAAGTCTAGCGGACCCAAGATGCGACGACGATGCGATTCTTGTTGCTGTGAAGAGATTTTGAGTTTGGGTTTAGATTCCTTGGAATCATAACACCCATTTCCTATGTACACACAGACGATACAGCTACCAAGTTAAAGAGAAATACAAATATATAGTGCTTCTAATATTGTTGTAAGCCAGTTTGGAGTCCAAACCATGGCTGTGTTATGGAAATTGTGCAGCTAACCAGATGATCAGGGAGACGTCCGGCCGGTATCTATTGGGTCTCACCCACAACGTGCCGGTATCTATTGGGTCTCACCCACAACGTTAACGCACAGTAAACTGGTGAAAGCTGGCCTAGCTCCTCAGTTTAGTGAAGATTACAGTTTGATGAAATCATTAGAGATAAAAAAAAATGTACTTTTTCATCAAAGATTTGGTTAATTGGAGATGGCCTTCTATTTGGATTTTTTTTTCTTTGTGAACTTTTTCTTAATGCAGATCAAAAGTTCTTTCTTTTGGGACAAATTCAAGAAACAAAAATAAAAATCAACAAAAAAAGAAGCCAAAAAAAATGTGCATCCTTTGCCTTTAGTGATTTTTTTTTTTCCATTTAAATTTTAGGATATGTTTGGTAACGTTTACGTTTTCAGTTTATATTTACAAAAATTTTGTAAACTGGTTTTTGTTTGTTTTTAGAAAAACATAAAATACAAACACGTTTGGTAATTAACAAAATGTTTAAAAAAATTTAAAAATATAAAAAATAGTGAGAAATGGCAAGTGGTGGCAAGTGACTGCGAAAGACGGTGGTGGAAAGTGGTGACGGTGGGTGGTGGGTAGCTGGTGGTGGCGGGTGGGGGCAGGTGGGTGGTGAGTGGTGGGTGGTAGACAGTGGATGGTGGTGGTGGTGGCGGCGGGTGGTGGGTGGTGGTGGCGAGTAGGTGGCAGGTGGGTGGCAGGTGGGTGGCAGATGGGTAGTGGTGGGGTGGGTGGTGATGGCGAGTGGGTGGCAGGTGGGTGGCGGTGGCGGGTGGTGGCTGGTGGGTGGTGAGTGGTGGTGGCAGGTGGTGGTGGGCAAGTTGGGTGGCGGATGGGGGGTGGTCGGCGGTGTAGGTGCGGGTGGTGTGGCGGGTGGGTGATCGGTCGGCGGTGGTTAGATGGTAGCCAAGTGGGTGGTAGCGAGTGGGTGGTGGTGGTGGTGGTGGGTGGTGGGTAGTGGTGGCAGGTGGGTGGGTGGTGGCAGGTGGTGGCGGGTAGGTGGCGGGTGGTAGGCGGATGGCAAGTGGGTGGCGAGTGGGTGGTTGTGGTGGTG